GCACTCCCTAGACAGATAGGCACCAATGGATGACCATTGATCATGATAGCCAGGCTTAGCTAAGTGCATCCCCCTTTGGAAGCTGTCCTAGGAAACCTTAAATCAGCCTGCATGAATAGTTTCTCTGTGGCTGCACCACAGAGATGAACAGAGAAATGAGGCCTTATTTGGGAAGGCTCAGAACACTTAATTCTGCCTTATTATTAAGCCTCGCCGCTACACTGACCTTTGTGTCAAAACTGCTAACAATGCTGTAATAGAGTGCGTCTGCTATTTTGGAAAAGTTTCCAAAATACCATGGTTTGACTTTGGAGTTTTAAACCAGAGAGAAAATAACCCGAGATTTTCAGGAGTAACATCTTTAACCTTCTTTAACTAGGACACTTCGGCACTATGTTATTAGTAATATGTCTTCACCTGCCACTATTTTTCCCTGGTTTCATAATGACCAATTCATGGAAATGGGCATCAGCCTGGAAAAGCTGCGTCCTTCACAGCTCATCATCCCCACTGGAATGGTTATGAAGTGTTCTAGCCTAATGCTCATTTGATTAGCTGCATAATGATTCTGGCCTGAACATAGGAAGTAGATCTGGGATAAAGCACTAAAAGCCTTTTAGGCCAGGAAAACCCAAGGACACCTTTACTTAATTGAAATAGCATGGAAAATGTTATACCATGCTAAAATTTAGTTGAGTGACACAAAATCAAACACTAATATATATTTCCACTTGTAACTATACGGTAGCTAATGTTTCTTCCAGTGCCTTACAATGTATTGTCTTTCTCTAAAAAGTGGTTAAATAGTTTAGTTAAGCCTTAATCTAGGCAGTGAAAATTGAATAAGTAAACTTAGTTTGCATAACCCACCAGGATGAGGAGAATAACAATCTGTCTGTGAAGGAGAGATTGTTGGAATCTCCAAATTAAAAAAAAATATTTATAATAATAATAATAATTGCTTACACTTATACAGCGCTTTTCTGGACACTCCACTCAAAGCGCTTTACAGGTAATGGGGACTCCCCTCCACCACCGCAGCCCCACCTGGATGATGCGACAGCAGCCTTAGTGCGCCAGAACGTTCACCACACATCAGCTATCAGTGGGGAGGAGAACAGAGTGATGAAGCCAATTCATAGATGGGGATTATTAGGAGGCCATGATTGGTAAGGGCCAATGGGAAAATGGGACCCCTACTCTTTTCAAGAAACACCCTGGGATTTTTAATGACCACAGACAGTCAGGACCTCGGTTTTACATCTCATCCGAAGGATGGCGTCTGTTTACAGTATAGTGCCCCCTCACTATACTGGGGCATTAGGACCCACATAGACCGCAGGGTGAGCACCCCCTGCTGGCCCCACTAACACATCTTCCAGCAGCAACCTTAGTGTTTCCCAGGAGGTCTCCCATCCAGGTACTGACCAGGCTCACACTTGCTGAGCTTCAGTGGGTTGCTAGTTGTGAGCTGGAGAGTGATATGGCTGCTGGCATTTATGCCGTTATTGCTTCTCAGTTCTGTGACAAGACGGGAGAATGTTCAGAGGAAACATAGTTATGGAATGAAAAGCTAAGGAGCTGCAAACCATATCTTCTGCAGGCAGTTATTTAGGATACTATACTAGGGAGCTGGGACCACAGTTTTCAGAAGATGGTGGAAGGAGTTGGAGGAGAGGGGGGAGGGGAGAGAGAAGCCGGTGAACTTGATTTTTTTAATGACTTTCTTGCGAGTCCGACCTACACGCCATAGTTGAGTCCAGTTGAACATCTGTAGGATGAGATCAGAAGACATGGCATCTCTGACTTGTGGCATCTGGGAAACATATGAGAGGGATGAAACAGAATCCCACAAGACAACAGCTGAAACATTGGACATACAGTAGCATGCATGGCAACTGTATAACTTCCAGTGATGGTCAGTCATACTGCCAGACAGTGATTTTCCAGGTTGACCACTGTTGATCAGCATTGTTGAAGACAAATGTTATACAGTATGTTGTCTGAAGAAAATATTAGTGCACCTGTTTCGAAAGTATTGCCATCTTCCTGATTATACATTTATTTATTGTGCTTACAAGCAATTTTTTTCTTAACTTACTTTCAGATGAGTGATTGAGGAGTTTTTGTTTCATGTAGCATGATTTGATTCATAAAAAAATGCATAGCTATGACTTGCTGCTGATGTAAATCAGAAATGTGTACTCTACAAGGCCAGACACTTGTTAACTGCTGGTCATTTCAAGTTCAAGTTCAAAACATTATTGCCATAATAACTAGTTGCACGGAATTTGGTATTTATCATTCTCCGAGGATAATACTGTACATTCTATTACAGATCTTAGCCAAATTACTCTCAGTTAATTTACTGAGACTGTTACAGCAAGTGTGTTGTGCATGTAAATACATTCAGGGCAAACACAAATGATCAAATAGCTTTAAGTTTTGCTTAATTCTGTATAGATTTGATTTCAGTTTTCAAGACAGTTCTGATTACCTGTCACATGTTAATATCTAAAATGAAGGTAATAAGGGAAATTTGTTTTTGTAAGGTTCACTCATAAAGACAAATAATCTTTATTTACACTTTAGTTAGCTTCAACATTTTGCCAAATGTATACAAAGTGAGAGTACATTGTGCTCTTTAATCACAATTAAATAGCAAATTAAGATTAATTATTAAAGCTTTCTTTATAAACTGTAGAAGTGTTTTGTGCATACACAAAACGGTCACTTAGCATAGGTAAATAAATAAAGTAAACTGTACCTACTGTACCTGTGAGAGGATCTGTTTATTCAGGAGTCATGAGTAGGCCAGTAAATTAGATTTAATCTGTGGCATTACCTTTTTCTTTATGCAAACCATTCATTTGTATTACTCATTGTGTGGACAGCAGCAGCATGCCTGGTCTGTGGTTTCCGTAAGCAAATAAGAAAAAACAGATCTGTTAGTGGTAAAGCAAACTGAATACATCATCATGGTTCAAACGGAATAGTCAGCTGGCACTAGCCACACAGCACAAAAGCAGCCTGTGTCAGATCAGTAAGATTTTCTTCTTTTTACTCTTCCTGTTGAACACCAGAAGAAATGGAAACTGGACATACAGCACTTACAAACATCAACATCAAGCATGCTGTCAGCAAAAATATTCAGATGAAAAATTGTAATTTTGAACTAGAAAGATCTGATGACTTTCATTTAAAAAAATATGCTGCTAAAGACAAGATGAAAAATGCCATGGGAAAATAAAAAATAGCACTGCAAGTATGACAATAAAATAAACAGACCAGATTTCTTGCCTTTGTTTCAATTTTTACTCATGATTTTATTCCTTATGTATTTTGGAATAAACTACAAGGTTACTTATACAAGTGAAATCAGTACCTTTATTTGGATTATACATGCAGTAACCTTTTTCCCTTAAAGTGTGTGGTGTACATTTTAAAATTCATTAAAACAACAAAACACGTTTAGGTTTTCAGCCATGTACTATACTTTATTGATTTAAACTGCCTGAATGATTAAATGTTTGTATTTTTAATGATCTTGTTTAAACAAATACTGGATTTTATAAGTAATGCATTTTAAAAAAATTGATTGTTCATCATCTTGAAACAAAATATCAGTACAATAACAAGCTTATTTAAAACAAAAAAAAACAACTCAAAGGTTTCAAAATAAGTAAGGCTGATAACATAAGGCCTTTTCAGTTGATATATTTTTCATACCTGCTACTTATTTCAATCACAGTGAATATACATCTAGTTTAGTGAGATTACCAAGTATTTTTATACAGAAACACTATTTTTAAGTCAAACAAAATAAATCACTTTTATCAAATCATTCCCTTCTACTTCTATAATGACAACATATGTTGTTTGTCAACCCTTCTAAAACTAACTTATAAGAGTCATTTTTTGGTTTTAGTGCTCCAATAAATCACTAAGAAAACCAATATAGGAGCTAAGATGCATCTGAATGAAGTTTGCTTTTATTAAACATACTAAAAGTGAAATGATCAACGCTAAGCATATACAAAGCATTTTTCATTAATATACTTATGATGCAAAGTGTCTCCAAGAACTCTTTGATTTCAGTAGTTAAGTCATTTTGCTGATAGCAATATCCTAACATGCAGAAAATCCATTCTTTACATAAATACAAAATTACATTTCTAGTCTGTTATTAATACATATGTAAACACTGCCTGGTCCAGCTTTTTTCAAAACTCAAACTTCAACAAACTTGTTTCTCAATTCAAACAGTCCAAAGTTCCTGCTTTGTCTTCATTATTTCCAGATATCTTCATTATTTCCATTCGTTTGTTATGTTATCTCATATTTAATTGTCTCTTTATGCCTTATATTAATACACAAGGAAGCAAGATGAACATTTAAACATATGAGCTCTGGTAATGTTCAGCCATAAAATATTAGCACAGTTTTCAACATATCCATCTTTACAGGCCTTGCAGGAATTCCTGAAGCTGTCGGACTATCTCTGTGTCCACAGTTTCCATTAGAGCTTGGAAGTTCTGGTCTCCCATCAGTAACTGTTGAGCTTTTAGCTTTTCATACACAAATTGCTGTAGTGACACACTGTGGACTGGGTCTTCCAAGGCAAGCTGAGGAGCAGATATAATAGTAATTAGCACAATTCACATACTTTTACACACATACTTAGAGAACACATACACAGAAAACGTACAAGTTAATGTTGTATACAGTATAGACATCACTCACAAAACACAGTAATAAGTATAATAAGTATAAAAAGATTAAACCTCAGATATACTGTCATATATGGGGGAGACAATTCCACAAATACAGAATGGAATGTGGACTACAATTGTGTTTAATGACAAAGTGTTAATTAAGTGGTCATCTGGGAAAAATAACAATGCTTCAGTAATTAAGGAATTTCAATTATTCACAAAATTCACACTGTCACTAAGAAACACTGACAGCATGCATCTAACCTATAATTAAGGCAGTACTGTAGTTGTTTCATGCATTAAGAGAGATCATACAAAACTAGGCAGTGATCAAATGTATTTATTAAAGATCCAATGTTACTCTTGCATTATTAAAAGTTGACTCATTAAGGAATTGCAAATTTCACTCTATAATGTTTTAATGCTCACTACATATGATTACACCAGGTGCACAGAACAGGCACCAGTGATTGGTGATATAGAACATTTTGTCATGGTATATATGCTATAAAATATTTGTGTGCATCTGTAAAGGTAAATGAAAATAATTTAGATACATTTAGGAGAAACTTCTTGCAAAATAAAGGTGCTTTAAGAATAACTAGAAAGGCCAGAATTCATAATTAACAATTCTGAAGGGGGGATTCAACATAAAAATTATAAACTGATACTATAGGAAGTTCGAAAATGTTTTAATTAACATTGTTCCGTGGCAGAGAAATTTTTTAACAGTATTTAACAGGGGGTCCTGGACGTGTCAAAAGTCCTGGCCAACATAGTATACAGTAAGCCAAAACCCTCAAGTTTTAAACAGATGAAAACAGAAGTACTGTAAAAGGTTCATCCTGTGCATTAAATTAAGAGTGCCTCTGCAAGTTAAAACACTTAAAAGCCCCAAGATGTATCTGGGGATCCTATTTTAAAGATAATGAATTCAATATACAGAAGAAGAATAACTCTTTAAACCAGTCCACACACAAAAAACAGATTTAGAAGAGAATGATCAAGTTAGGGAATGTAATTACCAGAGAACCACAGGGATCTGTCCACTGCTCTTGTAAATTTATATCAGTGATCTAGATTCTAATATAGTTCATAAACTAATCAACTCTGCAGATGATATCACATAAGGAGGATTAGCAAAAAACACAGAAGCAAAGTTAAATTAAAAAAAAATTTAAGATATATATTCAAGACAAAAGACAAATTCCTGGTGGATGAAACGCTCATCATGAAATAGGGCATGTTGCTAAAAGCGAGGGATTTAAATCAAGGGATTTTGTGTTAAAACTGGACACTGCAAGAGTAAGACTTCATTTAGAATCCAGTAAGATGTTGTACGATTTTGTCACTCGGACATACAAGCTAAGACAGGTAAGCTTTTTTAGTTTTGAACTGAGAAGATTGTGAAGGGACATTAATCAAGTATTCAAAATCTCAAAGGTTCTGACAAAGTCAACACAATACAGTTATCAATGCTGAAAAATAAACCAGAGGTCACTGCTGGACACTAAATGGATGTGCATTATTATCTGAGAACCAGAGGCACTTCTTCACGCAAAGGGATGTGGGAGTACTGAACAAACTACTCAGCCTTGTAGTTGAAGCTCAATGCCTTGCTTCTTTCAAGAAACAGCACGATATGATCCTTGATGCAACCGGCTACTAACATAAGGGCTAGATGGACTGCTCTTGTTTGCAACCTTCCTTATGTTCTGTAAACACCAGTAGATACTGTGGCTTAAAATCTGCAACATACCTGTTATACAGTCATACTGTATGAGTGAACAAAGCTTGATTTACTCTGTAACATATTTCCATAAATCCCATGTCTCTTAAAGAAGGGAAAAGGACAAACAGAACTGACAGCTTGTCTATAATGTTAACCCCAGGTCTGCTTTATTGATTGCCAAGACATGCTGAATGAGGTATTGCAGTTCACTCCCTTGTGAACATACAGCATAAACTTTCACTTATTTGAAAACACATTAGTCTTTACAAGTACTAATTACTTGGTCTGGGGATAGGATATTTGTTTTCTGGTTATTTACTCAAAGGAAGAACATATTTTACAGAATAAGCAGTGAATTACTAAAATTATTAAAAATAATGATAATAGTAGTAAGTGCTGATTCAAATATGAGCATCCTACATCTGAAACTAGGTTATCTGTTAAAAAGGTATAATGAATATTGTGAAACCACTTTTTTAAGAGTGATAACACTTGTAAGTAGTATTTAAGTTTTAGTAAACACCACAACTGAGAGCTACTGTTTTTGTGACTTAAAATAATTTAAACTACTGGTTTCCAATACATATGTGTACATCTCAATGAATACTTTTCAATTTTACAGTCTTAAATGTAATAAAATTGAATAAGTCTCAGGCCATTTTCAAGAGTGATAATCAATTAAAGAGATCAGGTAACAATTAAAAATGGCATCAACTACCAGATTATCAGGCAGATAAAGGACAGATGTACTGCTATTGCAACATTAACACTGAAGGAAAGATGTGGATGTGTGGGGCACTTATGCTTTTCCTTTGGGAGCTATAACAAAAAAAAAAAGCTCTCAGTGAAACACAAATAAAAAGACTTTTGTCAATATGCTGGGATCCTACAGTTCTAAAGGTACGATTCTGTGAAGAGACAAAAGTAAAGTGTTGGCAGCCATACTTCAAAGCTGATAAAATGGATTGTTGTCTGTAGGGAAAAATACTGGACTCAACAATAATCCAGACTTATAAAACTGTGATAGAAGATAAATCGACTAATCGCCTTATCCAGCCTCAAAAGAAAAGTTTAAATAGTAAAAAGTGAATAGTAACACTATATTTAAATAGTTGGAGTAGTAGCAAATTTAAGTAGTTGTAAATATTAAAATTATATTATACAAGGATTACACAGAGTGAGTGGTAGATATATCATAAGCATTGTAAGGAGATAAAAGGAATTAAACAAAGTGTTGTAAAAGGTTACTGAAATATAAAACTATGTTTGCCTCAAACATGGATAACCTTGTTACAATAAATCCAAAAATACTGCAATATGACCACAGAAGGAATCATATATAACATTTTAAAAATTACTAGAATAACTGTTGTCATGCATTACAAATATTCATTTATATTACGTTCATATTATTAAGTTATTATTGAGCCCTCCTTTAGTGTTTGCTAAAGTTCCTCCACATTTCCATGATTCTGTAATCAAGATATTTTCATGTTGAGTTTCACCACTGTTGAGTTGAGTTTCACCACTGTGATATAGTAAGAGGTAGCTGTGTGAGCACACTACCACCGCGACTCAAAACCCAGACCCAACTGAGGGGCCTGTATAGTAGTGACCAATTAATTGAGAAACACTGTTGACATTTAGCCTGACTGGGTCTTGAGCTCTTGGGGTAAGTAAAATTCCATGTGAGGAAATGAGCTGTCAGGACAAGCTTAGTATGGAATCAACCACTCCTATAAGGGTCATCAAGTAGTTTATGGGACCAGTTGGGAAGAAAGGGATTCAGAAGGAGAGAAGGTGAGGGCTTCACATACAGGAGTTCTTGCTAGAGCCAGCTTGGGCTAGTTAGGCTAGTTCTTAGGCTAGGCCTGAAGAACTTGAACTAGAACCTGTAGAACAGCAAGCAAAAGGCCTGAAGATACTGAAAGACATCACAGGCAGGACTACATGTAGCTTTTTTGCCAGACTCAATGGAGAAGACGTGCACTCCCAAGAACAGGGTTATCTTACTTAACCAGGCCTTACAAGGCATTTCTTGGCAAAGTAGCATTGTATTGTCTCCCCACAGACAAGAAGGCTGGAGTCTAGGACAGCACAAGTCGAGTCCCAGATACACCCTTTGCCTTAGGAGCTGCAGATGGACAGCATTCTCCGACAGAAGAAAAGCAAAGCAAATCATCTATTGGTGTGTCAGGGACTCTAGAGTTTGATATAAAGAAGCATCCCTGTCCAAACAGGATCAGCTTGGAGAGTTAGAGAGAGAATGTGGACAAATGAGAGAGTAAAGAGTGTTAGTGAAGAGAGACAGCTAGGCGCCGTGGAGAGAGTTGGTATGAATCCGAATGCTTCTTAGCCTAGAGAAGCAAGTTAGTGATCTAAGAGAGAATGTGACGAGTTAGTCGCAGGATTAAAGTATGAGAGAGCTGACCATGGGAGACCCAAGAGTGGAAAAAGCTAAAGTGCAGGAGACCAGAGCCAGGTCATTTAGAACAGCAAACAGTAAAGTCACACACTACCGGTGACTAGAGAAAATCAGGCGTATGGAAGATTAAAGGCAGGTGATGTCGCTCCACCTCTTGTACAAGTTTCACATTTTACAGTCTTTTTGTTTTCAACGTGCTGCTAGAGTAGGACATGAATGGTATTTGTACCTTTGAAGTTTAGTGTGTGCTTTTAGCTGTGCAGATAGTCTCAAAGCCATCAGCACATTCCAATCTCTCTATTAAGCTTCCCTGAAGCCCTAAAAGTAGATAATTTGTATTATTATATAAATTACTGGTACCTGTACGTAAGATAGTGGTAATTAAGTTTCAGCATTAAAAGCAGCGGTACTGCAGTCTTGGTCAAAGAAACAGAATAGGACTTGTGATCATCACTGTCTTTGCATTTGAAACAAGTGAAGAAATGACACACTTAAGTACTACTTCCTTTTATGCAGTAAACAAACAAAACACTGCTTGATATACAGAAATGGGGATTTAATATGTGTTCTCTACAAGTAACTGAAAGGACTGCAAATTCCAAACCAGAGCCCACAAATAAAATCAATAAAACATGACAATAAATAACTGCTCTGCATCACAGCAAACAGTTTAACTGGTTGTTGGATTTTTTTTCCCCCTTGTTCACAAACATAATACAGTAGGGAAAAAAAACTTACTTCTGTTTATTCTTT